TAATAATATAAAATAAAAAATTGGTTTTGAATTACAATTTTATTTTATGAAGATACTAACTCTCATTCTTGTGAACTACATTAGTTCATTACCATAACTAAAGAATCTAATTATACCGGATACGTGACCCTTCCTCGTTTGCAGGATCCCGTTTAAATAAGCTTAGTTACGAGATTACAAACTTACCAAAATAATACGAACTGTGTAAAACTATTAACATCATCAATGGCGAAATTGTCCGCAAAACTCTTTGAAATCATGGCGACAATTAAACCCACGATCGATTCTGCAAACTTGTCACGTTCCAATTCATTAACGCTCTTGCAAACTCCCTCTATTTGCAATTTACCAAATTAAAAGTGTAAAAGTTTGGGTAATGCAAGACGTGCCTCGTCCGGTAAATCAATCTCCCGTTTTTATGCTTGTAAAAACCGGTTTATGATGTGAGACATTATCTGGTCCGATAATTCTGATTCAGATAAGAACTGGATATCAGAAAAATGATGGTAACGTGCACGCAATAAAATTGCAATAAAATGCAGCTTTATCCGCGTCTACTCTAAGCTGCAGTGGTTTTATGACGTAAGCTCAGGTCCACGATTTATTTATGACAATACTGTGTAGGGATAAAAACATAAAAATATATCGCACGATCAAATATTTCACTGAAATCTCCTGACCTCTATTTCAAATCGTAAACTACGGAATTTCCAGACTATACCTATGTAATTTTTATCATTCCAACTTGGAACCAAACAGGTAAAAATTTGGACAAATATTGGACACAATCTGCAAAGTTTAAAACGTTTAATGCCTAATTAATATGTCATTACGTTATGAGACAGCACAGTTATAAAATTTTAAATCCAGAGTTATATCAAGTGCACTCCAGAGCCATAAATTCCGTATATAAAATACATTTTATTGCGGCAGCTGTGTTTAGTGTTTTCATATTATTGTCAGTTTTCATATTTTACAGCGATCATTATTTTACGCCGTTTTTCCTTCTCATAACATAACATTGATTCATGTCGCATTATTTCATTTGAACTAAATTTAATTTTTGATATATTATGGAATAGGTACAATAACTATTATACAAGATGTTTTACATAATTTCAATTGTTACAAAACATTAGATACAAAAATAGTATATTATAATACTAGTTTATAAGCAAGCGTTTAAAACACGCATGACGGGTTTAAGAACACGACGCGTCAGCGGAGTGCTTTTAACGTCGTAAATGTTTTTAAGGTGCTTATAAACGAGTGTTATACGCTATTTTTTATTATACCTGGCTATTTACGATCTTTTATGAGCATTGAAAAAATGTGAATTTACACAATAAATTTATCAAAGGTTGTTTGTGAATCGTTTTCGTAGAGACAGTTACAAGTTTACGTTATTAAGCACATTTTTTCACGTTATAATTGGTTCAGACATTTCACTATTTCTTGTTACCTAGACAACTTTAAAATTCAGCGTGCTATAAAGGCCAAATTGCGCACGTTGCAGCGTGTTTTAATTTAGGATTATGATGCAGGTATAATAAAAAAATACATATTATCTTATTTTAGAAAACCCTTGATAGTGGCTGTCAAATTAATAATTACTTCATAAAAAAACAATTATCTTGTATTCAAACAATAAAAGTGTACCCATGATCTTAATCTATCTAATCCAATCACTAACTAACAAAAAATGTTGGCATTAATTACGAGTAGAGTTAAAAGAGAGAGTTAGAGTAGAGTTAGAACTCTAAATACGTTTTTTTGTTTTATTTTATTTTAGTTTTTAAAAAACTTTTAGCTGAAATAGTTTTGCAAATGTGCTGTAACCCTGTGTTGGAACACTTTAATGCTTCATTACCACTAATTATGTAAGCATTAAACTTTAGTTAACGTTTTGGACAGAGATTGTGCTAATTAGAATCTTACCACCCGAAACACTAATTAAATATTTTTTATTTGATAATTCCTATTATATTTTAATCAAGACTCTATCACTTAAAAGCCACGTTAAGCTACTTTGCAGTCAATACAATTATCTTGAAGAAAAACGTCACGTCTTTCTAATTAAATCAGCAATCGTGGGAGCAGTAAATAATTCTTTTCTTTATTACCCCAGCCAACAACTGTGAAAATGGAGATGATCTTTAACTCGGTTCGCAATAACGCCTTCTTTTATGTTTACGAAGTCACTTTTGTTGTGATCTTAGCGTATGTGTAGTGGTCGTAAAACCGGAAGAATTTAAAGGAATGCCTTTGAAAATCTTCACAATCATTACGTTTGTTAGGAAAAAATTTAGTAGCATTTTCAACTTCGCAAAACTCATTAAACCGAGATTGCAGGATTTTTATTATTCATTATTTCGGGGTTGAAGGTTTTTAGGTGTATTTATATGGAATAAATGTAACAAAATACACATTTGGTTGGGTTGGAAACCAATTCTCCGTATTAAGCTGACGCTCTGAAAGGTTATATAATATTCAGACGTAAGAATGGGAAAATGATTGCCTGCTTGTTATTTGCATTCTGAATATGAATACATAAATGGAAGAGGTGAAAGAGATGGAACGTGCAAGCAGGCCATACAGGATAACAAGAACCGACTAGAGTAAGCACCTGCGAACCGCCCCGGAAATTAGGGACGAGCGGTAACGCGGTTACCATAATTCCCATCGCGCACATGTTGCATACCCGTTACCGCTCTTAACAACCGATTAACGAGATCGTTCACATTACCGGCACTAGAACGAGTCTTCACAACAAATCACGATGGATTGCACTTATCATCAAAGGACACAGGTGTTAAAATTGCAACTCAAAGCATAACTTCGTTGTAATAGATTTTGATCGGAATTTTAATTTCTCACATCATAAACCTAAGTTCAGTGTCAAACAATTTAAGAAAAACCAATCTGTTATAACTGCAAACTAAGTCTAAAAAAATTCTTATATAAAACAAAATCTAAATAAATGTTTTTAAGCACAAATTAAAATCTTAACCAAATTGCCAATAGTACCTTAATATAAAATACAAGAGGCGCCTAAATTTTAAGCCTAATTACGAAGCCAAACCCATGAAATACGTGCTACGTACTCGTTTCAGAAACACATCACTCACAGATAATGAGCAACTTTTCTTTACTTGTATAATAAACTACTATTTCTCTGTGACGATCTTTTCTATTTTGTGTTTGATTTTGTGACACTGTTTCGTCGAGAAACATTGCTACACAATGCAATTTTGTAAGACTGTTTTTGGCAACTTTTACTTGCCATCGTTTTTGAGTGAGAAATTTTTGTAGATCAACGTATTTCATCGAAACTAATACAATTTCAGCTCTTTTCAAACAACTTGAGTACCTTATCCTTATCCTGATAGCTAGAATGACGACAAATCAAAATAATTTATAACTTATACAGTGCGATCAAAAAGTCTTTCTATCAAGTAAGCGTACTAGTTGAGGACGTATGTTTTAACTAAAACTTTCAAAAGTAGTAAAGTAAAGTATGTAAAGCATGGCTCGTGCCACAAAATTATTTAGAAAATTGCATGACCATATGGAAAAACTAATCTGAATTTGGTATTTAATATGATTATCATAGCAACACAAAATTTGTCCGGAAATTTTTTGACTCATTTGCTAAAATTAATAAGTGGAGTTTTTTTTGACACAAAAACTAACCTCAAATATTTAGTAAAACTCTCGGTAAAACTTTATTTTAAACATCTAAAACTAAGACTTACTTACTTGAACTTGTGATGTTATGCAATTTTCACATAAATACCACTCATGGCATTGATTGAATCCGGAAATGTTTTCTCGTAATTGGCAAAAACGTGTAATTAGCCTTCGTGTTCCACTCGGCCTAATTAATGGGGTTTCTGACAATTAGGTACTCGAAAAAATTTTCGGAAACAATCAGTGCATTCGGGATATTATACTTAAGTAATAACTCAAAAATTTAAGAAAATATTTTTAACAAATACTTAATACATAAAATATAATAACAATAATTATTATTAATAATAACAGTAATAATTTGTGAGGTTTTACATGAGTCTAAAAACACTCAAATCTGTAGCGGTTTCGACACCATAGACAATAGACAATATTCAATAGTTACTTATATATGTACTAAGGGCAATGGATGTTTCTGGCTCCCAAGAGCAACAAGTTTGAAAGGTCGAGCGTCTCCAGCTCGAGACCCTTGTAAGTCGCCCAAGGACTATACACACCAGATAATGTCAAAAGTGCATTAAAAATTGTAAAAATGAAATATAATAAATATAGTAAACTAGAAAGTGAAGAACACAGAACCCTGGGGGACAAATATAATACAAAAAACAAATATTATATCAACCTAAGCAACCTCTAATGCCCGAGAGCATAAAAATAGACCTCATAATAAATGAAAATTATTATTGATTAATGATTTTGATTTTAAAGATTTTAAAAACGTAAGCGAAAATTGTAAGGCAACTTTAAATTTTTAATAATGTTTTGAGATAAAAAGTTTTAAAGTTAATTTAGCAACTTTTTAATACTACAAAAAACACTTTTTTATATTAAGTATTATATTATTAAATATTATTAAGTTTTCAGGAACGCATGTGAATTAGTTTCAAACCCTTCGTTAAAAGTGTATTTATTTATTGAGTTCAAGTTGAGATTTCCTCAAGAAAATTATTGATATAATTAAAGGCAGATGATTAGATCTTCGGAATATCTTTGATTAAGAGTTACTTGCCAATAAACCGGCAGAAAGCCACCGGAGACACACCGCCCTAACATCCTGTCCTATCGAAGTTTGCTCAGTATTGCTATGGACACTGATAAATTCAATATAAGTTTGTTCCTGACATATCTTGAAACTTTGGTTTGGTCACCAGTATAATAAACTCGTGATGCAAACTTACAAACAACTTTGGCGAAAAGGACTTTCTCTGATCGTTTCTCTAACAATCAATTAATTTTACAAATCTTTTCAGTATGTCGTCAGATGGAATTCGGCGTCCAGGCTATCTTCGGCCCTTCGGATCCAATATTAGGAGCACATATTCAAAGTATTTGCGAAGCACTAGACGTGCCCCATCTTGAGGCACGAATAGATTTCGAGCCCTTGTCCAAAGACTTGTCAATCAATTTACATCCGAGTCAAGAACACATGAACAAGGCATTCAAAGATCTGATGACCTTCCTCAACTGGACCAAAGTCGCCATTATATACGAAGAAGACTACGGTCAGTAAATTTTTCCATTTACAAAGTGTTAATACTCGCAAAAAAGATTGAGACGATCGAAAGAATTCGGAAATTGAGTTAGAAAATCTTATTTTTTTCTTAGTTCCACTTGTTGGGGGAAAAGGTCAGCAGCTGTTCAACTTTTAAGCTTTATATTAGTAAAGCGCATTAGATCTTTAGAGCTTTAAAGCTTCGAGCAAACTTCCAACTTGCATGATAATTGACAGAATCCGAATATTTGATTCGTTTTATCCCAGAAAATCTAATCCAGTTTTTCGTAACACTGCAACACGTTTTTTGTTGCTGGGGTTGCGGATTAATTTTCTTATAGTAAGAGGATCACAAGCACGCAATATTTTATTCTGTACGAACCTCCCAGCATGTTATTTTTGATATTGTATTCTTTGCTGCTCTTTGTATGATTAAATCTTTTTTTTTTTTGAAGACAAGACAACCATTGTTGTCATCTTGTAAATAAAACAGCTGCTCATTACATTTTTAATCAAGAATGCATGACTATCAAAACTGTTTTTATGTTTGTAGTTTGATCTAGTTTCTTGTTTCCATTTTGGCGAGTCTGTTTTCAGGCCTTTTCAAGTTACAAGAATTGGTCAAGGCGCCGGCTGCTGCAAAGACTGAAATGTATATCCGCCAAGCTGGCCCCACTTCATATCGACAAGTGTTGAAAGAAGTGAGGCAAAAAGAAATTTACAAGCTCATCGTCGACACGAATCCCAGAAACATCCAAAAATTTTTTAGAGCGGTATGTCGAGCTGCAAATTTTTATTAATGTTTTTCTCTGAATTAGAAATAAGACGGCCTAAGGTCATAAATCTCCAGATATCTTGTTTGTATTATCGCAGAACACCAAATACAAAAATTCCACGATGAATTACTTGTCACTTGTGTAATTATTAATCAAAAATTTATATGAAAAGTTGTTTTGGCGGCTTGCGGATAATATTGTAAAACTTTTCGTATCGATCACCTTCGAAATTCCTTTTCATTTTTATCGCAAACTTTATTAATTATTTTTCTAGACAAATTCGAGACACTTTCCATCCCTTTTAATATTTTTGAGCTATTTTTAAAATAAAAACTTCTAGCAATTGTAACTTTTTGCAAACAACTTATAAAATATTCTGGAGAATTTATAGTTTTAGTTTAGCATTCAAATATCTGAAATTATGATAGAGGAAAATTCGCTTTCAAAGTAACGTCGCCAAATAATAAAAAAAACACATGTACACAAGTGTCTAAATTTGGTTATACAATTTTGATAAACGCTTTTCTATGCATAGAAATTCAAATAAGCTCTAAGCTGAATGCTACAGCTTAGAGAAGATGGCGTCAAAGCACTGTTAATGTAATTATTTCATTTGTTATGGTTGATTTTGAGAAACAAATTAGGGGTGCATGTTTTCCCGGATATTTTGAATAAGCGTTTCCTCAATACATTATTTCTTCCCCGCGTTCAATGATGACATTTCCAAATTACTTATATTCAGGTCCGAATTCTCTCCAAATCCAATGAGAAAAATATTTCGCTAATCCCTATTGAACCCAGGGCTTTGGAATTTACGAAAATATTTGTAATATAGATCAAACGTGTTTTTCATTAGGGAAATGTTGTATAGTGTCGTTCTTCGAGCACCTATGTGGAATTATTAATTTAGTTGGGGCATAGCTAGAGCGTCCGAACATAAATTTCTTTTTATTCCAATATTTAGAAAAGAGCTTTTTCCCTTTTTGCGTTTTATACGGATAAATACAGCACAGTTAAATTGGGAGCCCCACATGTTGTTAGCGCTGATCCCGCACCCTACAAAGACCGCCAATTTGATGGCAGCTTCAGGTTTACTGAAATCCAGAGCATGCTTTGATCTGCTGGTGACGGCGAATCGAAGTTAAACCTGCTAAGGCGCTTTGTTATGTCAACGAATACAAAACGTTGTTTCCAACTTAGTTTGTTTGGGAAAACTATGCTTTGATTTCTACCGTGGTATTACGACTGTCTAAGCAATTTGATTAGTCATAAATTGATGCTGTTACCATTGGTCAAAAAATAATCAATTGTTGTTCTTGCAGATTTTGCAACTCCAAATGAACGACTATCGGTACCACTACATGTTCACAACTTTTGTAAGTACTCTTCCGTACCTTATTTTCAAACTGAAGACTTAATGGACTTTAAATACTGACTTATTTTTTAAAGAAAATTGTCATGTTTGAAAATATGAACATCACTTATTTTTTTAGTAAAATTACTAAATGCTCCACAGACTTTTACGTACGTAAACACGTAAACACTTTAATCTATTTTTGTTGCCAATTTTACATTCATTAAAACTAAGATTTGTTTTACTGTCAAATAAAAATACATGGAAAAAAGACACAAATCATTATTGATGCATTTTTATAAGTATTTATTTTATAAGTACTTAATCATAAGAATTGTGTAGAATTAATTTTTGTAAACCCATCACCTTTTAAAAAATGTTGTTTCTAAACACTAAAAACATTTTTAACCGTTGATGTATTTTTTCTAATAAATTATTGTAATTATGTAGTAATATTTATTGTCAACAATAAAGTTATGTACTTATTTAAAAAAAAGTATTACTATATTTACTGCTTGTACTGTAACTGACATTCAAATACGTATTGTCAAATTTAATCAAATTCGAACATACCAGCAGTAAGTGTGTTAAATAAAAAAAAAAATTCTCTCTGGTACAAGAAGGTATGTCTCAAAGATGTGTCTCTATACATTTGGGCATGCCAAGGACTACCATTTCTAAGGACAAAGTAAAAAGTAGCAAGAAGCATCGAGCATTCTGTCAACATGACAAACGTTAATCAAAATTCTGAAACAAGATTAGGAAAACCTAAAGACTAATTTACACTTTTAATCTGTCAGGGAATTTGAGTGGACGAAATTCACTGTCCATCACTGTACTAAAAACTTTTACAATTAATTAAGCTAATATCTTAAAATTGTGTCTAATTACCTATATATTGAAGTCTTTTGTCACAGATGATCTTTTTCAACAACCATCCATCTGCCCCATATTTCAGCAAGATACATTTTTTATAATTAAATTATTCAAACTGAAATGATACCTAAGTAAGATTTACGAGCAGCGAACCGTTTGACATGTGACACTGAAATAAAATAAACGTTGTTGGGCACGTGGCCAAATTAATTTGCATACGCCAAATGCGTACACGTAATCTTTCACATGGTTCTGCTTGTGATATCGCCTAATTTGGTGTTAAAATTATTGTCGCAAAATTTATGAAAATTGTAAAATTTTATATTCAGATTCATTTTATCTTAATTGGAACCAAACCTGAAACCTGAGACTCTTTCCACTAACCGAGCTGTTATCTGGCTTAATTTTTATAATGAACACGTAAATTACTGCAATTAAAATAGTTATTTTATTTTCAAATCTCCGGCTTTACTTAAAACTTGAATTCAAATAATTTTTTAATTTCTGGTGGAAAATAGCGGAAGCAGCAAAATTGTACATAATTAAATGAATTTTTGGCTTTCGTATATCGGAACAACAAAGTTGATGAATAAGATATGACCTGGGGGATGTTAAGATAGACATTTAAAATATTGTACCTACAAGTCTTCCAGATCTTATCAAATAAAGCTGCAAATAGTAAAAATTGATTTTATAAAATTGTTTTTCAAATTGTCAGTCACACAACCTTTACTCCAATTAATGGAAAATAATATAATCTGAAATGGAAAACATTTGATGAAATATATTGATGATTACGCAAGAATCTGTAAACAACTTAGAAATCCAATTATTTTTTTACATAAAGTACAGCCTCGGTTATATAACAATAATTTAAGTTTTCTAGTTACTCTACAATTTTTGATTAGTAGTATTTGTTTTTATATCCTCATCCTTAACTAGTTAAGTTTAGAGCGTAACAATGTATTTAGAAGTGAATAGGAATATAATTTTGCAGAAGCACTATATAAAACTTGCATTGAACTTGATTAAATTTTAATTAAGTTTAGAAACAACATCCCATACAATTTCCAATTTTCTTATGCTTTTTGTACCTTTGGTGTCAAAATAACAATAAAAATAGGTAGAATTATTTTAAGCTGAAAAAAGTCAATTTTATTTCAATTTTTTGTAGATATTAAAAATTGTTTATGGTTAGATAGAGCCAGTGTTTCAATATTGAACTTCGCTATTTTCCATTTTGATCGCAGGATTTAGAAACATTCGATCTGGAAGATTTCAAATACAATTCTGTAAATATTACGGCATTCAGAATTGTTGATGTGGATGATCCCCAAGTAAAAGAATCCCTTGAAGTTATGGAGAAATTCCAGCCGATTGGTCATGCAATCCTTAATAAAAGCGGAATTATTCAGGTAATGATTACCTCTCTCTTAGACCCGTCCAATATTTATATTAAAAAGAAATACGTTTCAGGCGGAGCCTGCGCTTATGTTTGACTCAGTGTATGTTTTTGCTAAAGGGCTGGCTGCAATGGGTTCTATAAAGCCAATGAACTTATCTTGCGACGTCGAGAAGCCCTGGGATGATGGATCGTCCCTGTACAATTATTTGGGCGACGTGGTAAGTCGATATACCTATATTTTTTTAAAGCTGTCGCTCGCCGGAGAGTTATTCTGACAGATAAAAATATAGAAAAAACGAGGCGGAAAAATAATCCAATTGGAAGTAACGACCAAATAAATTATGACGAAATTAAATTTACAAGTTTTGTAGTGATTCCGGGTTTGATATAGCGCATTATCGCCTACAAAACACGACATGGCGAAAATTTAAGTCGCATGTGTCGCAATAAAAAAGTTCACACGTGTGCAACTCGTGACAAAATGAATGGAATAAAAGCACGAAATGTAAATACCCATCCGCGTTGTTATATAAAAATATTATAGCCTGTCTACGTCAGGCTTATACAGCATTTAAGTAGTTGTCATGTCTGCATAAAAAATAAAAAACAACTGTTTTCCGTTTTTAAGTAAAATAGTTATAAATCAATGTATCGTTACTTTTCGTCCGAGTGTACTCATTCCAATTTCTTCGCTACTTTGAAGCTTCAATGCTTAAAATGCGGAGTGCACGCGAGAAAGTTTGAAATCCTTTTCCAGTTCTTTTCCCAACTACACCCGAACAAAACACATCAGAACAAACTTTTTCCTTTTATAAGTATGTGAGTTAACATAGCGGCGTCGCAATGTAAATATTTTAGTTGACACCCGATATCGAAGCGAACAGAAAAACTTTGATGTCCTTATTCTAGGATGATCTTCGAGGTTTGACAGGGAACATAGAATTTAATGGTGGCAAGAGGTCAAACTTCAAACTAGACTTACTCAAGCTGAAGAAAGAGGAGATTCGGAAAGTGGGCCAGTGGACTCCGTCAGGGGGCGTTAACATTACTGACCCCAACGCTTTCTACGAAAGTCACGCGCCGAACATTACCCTTGTCGTCATGACTAGGGAGGTAAGTCATTTCGTTAACCATCGCTCTTGCTAGAAATATCACGCCAACTTACGCTCTCTAAATCATTTTGATGCATGTTTTGCAACTCTTCCGAGCTAGAAACTTATACATTCGTTTTACTACTTTCTCTAAAGTACTACAAAGCTGCTTTTCCTTTGAGAAGTCTTAGGGTTATAATTGAGTTCTTTACCGGGTCGGACACTCACACAACACCGGTCATTCCTGGGATTAAATGGAAAATGTGTGTTGTTCCTCTAATGCCACGAGAATAAAAGAGTAATGGAACCGAATAAAACCTTAGCTTTGTAATAATAGACTCTAAGAAGTACACTTATCTGATTATCGTTTCTAATCTATACTTTATTTACATATTACTTTTACCAAAACAATAATAATAGTATATTATCTTATTAGGAGTAAAAGTGATAGTTTATGTGGCGAAGTTGAACGTTTATTTTGACAAACGGAGTGAGACCTAAGCCACATAAACTCACTTTTACTCCGAATAACATATTTTATTTTATCCGCAAACGATTCAGATAGAAAGAAAAGAACAGCATAATAATTATCAAGTAAATGACTAAAATAATCAGAACGCTTTGCAATGAAATCATAGCGAACGTCAAGCATCAGAATCGGAATTTGTGTTGAAATTTTCGAAAATGTATTTTGATTTAACTAGTACGACTAGTGCAGTTAGTAGTGCAAAATGTCGAATGCTGATCATCTACACTGTACCTCTCCAAAAAATGATGAAACAGCTAAGGAAACAAGGAAACGACAACATTGGTAAATATCACTGTAAATGTCAGGTAAAAGTGAAAAACGCTTAGGCGAAAAAACAGTGCTTTTACTCCATGCCTAAAAGGTAAAACTTTTGCTTCTGTCATTTAGTCATAAAAACGTCATTTTTTGACGTTTGCAAATATACTTATTTTTAGAGTAACTAGAGTTTACAAAGTTACAAACGAGTCCGGTAGTAGTTTACTACTGACCGGTAGCCTATCTACGGGATTCGTTTGTAACTACGTCAACGCTAATTAGATTTTTGTTTTCATGAATTTTTGTTTAATTCGAAAGTGATCGCTGCAGTATCCTAAAAAATCTTATACAATATACCACCGGTAGTATTTTTCCGGCTTTACCAAACATACGGGTTTACTTTACGGCTCGACCTGTAAAGTATTGGTCATGAAAATGTTGCTATTATGAACGTTCAGACTGATTAAAAAAAAAGTTTATTTCATTAAGAACTAGCAAAACACCCATGTTGTATAATTACACAGAGGCGAGTGAAAAATATAATGTACTCATGAATACTCAGTACAAATTAAAATCGCCTGTAAAGAATTATTATTCATAAATCAAAAAAGCCAAAGGTGTAAATCCACGGATGACACCAGAATATTAATATACTCGTTGAATTTATTAGGTGTTATGGTAATTTGTTCATATTTTTCTGTAGAAAGTACGTGACTAAATTGTACGTTGACTTATAAATCAAACCGTCAGCATGTTGTAAACTGAGTGATTGTTAAAAAAAGTAAGTATTGAGGAAGTAATTTATACGCTTGAAAACGAGGGGTAAAAATAGAATAACAAATCGGATTATTGCGAGAAGATAATTATTACTGACGGGTTTACTTTCCGGAATAAAACTAATTAATTATTTTTGCACTTTTTTCAGATTAAACACAATATTTATTGCAACACAACAAATTGTACAATCCTGTCACTAAAACAACTGAAATCACAATTTATATCAACATGGTAAAACAAAATTAATCAATTATTTACGAGTAAAAATTACTGAATTAATTTACAACGGTGTCACCACTTCTATCCCGGCGGCACAAACACCATTTTCAATTTATCAAAAATAAATCTGAATAAATAGTAAATTTACAGGGTGATTCTTAAATAGACCGACAAAATTTTATCAGAGCTTCTCAAGTATAAATGGAGACGATTTGTACCCTTTTTACGTTTATATCTTTTAGGGGCAGAACCCCCTTGAGCCGTGCCACTTATGGCGTTTATGAATTGTTGCAATGATCAAGTAAATTTTTATCAAATTAATACCATGGTTTCCACTACCTGTGCTAATACTATTTACGAACATATCAGTGGTGTACGCTTTACCTCGAAAATAACTTGAATAAATTTTATTTAGAGAACGGTTAAACAAAGCATTTTTTAATATTTAATCTAACATGTTCTGATTTAATATTACCAAAGATAAAATTTTGTCGGTTCATTTAAGAATCACCCTGTATACAGGGTGATGAAAAAAAGGCGCCCACGATTGAAACAGGCGCGTTTTTTTTTATTGAAACATTGTGACCATCATTCCAAAAATAGTCTAAATAGATTCTTTTTAAAATTTAAACAGTTTGTCTAACAGCACAAAGCGGCAATATTGCACAATTTTCTTTTACTAAAAAACTATTTCACTCAGGCATTTTTCGTATCTAGGAAACCAGTACTGACAGATATTATCACCCGCATAAAATAAAAAACTGTAAAATTTACATAATTTTATTATTCCAATACGATACGACCAAAAGGTATCTAATCATTTCAATTAATTTTTTTAATCTTTGACTTTTTGACTTTAATCGTTCAAATTTCACAGAACAAACAACATTGAAAATTGATTTATTTGTTGCTACCGTTTCCAATAATTGAACATTTTCTGTATCCTAGGATATTTGCAATGTTGCAACATTGATAAATTTTCTTTGGAGCCAAGAAATGGTATCCTAACATCTTCAATAAAGTTTATTTCAATAGACTTTTTACACATTTTTTTTTAAGAACACCGTCAACTGTATCAAAATCTAGACTTTAACAATGAAATTATTTTAAAACTGTTAATTATATAGATTTCTCTTTTCTAAAAAGGAAAGTCTATATCTTACTGATAAGAGCACAAATCGAATTTTGGTCTTCGAATTCGTCTTTAATAAAAGATCACTTATAACGTGTAAGTTAACACGGGCGCCTTTTTTTCATCATACTGTATAGTAAGAACATCGTGTTATGAAATGAAATTCCCATCACAAATTTAGTTTATGTTACAATGTCCAAAGAATGTTAATAACAATGGTTAAATTTATTTGGTCAAAAGTTTTGTTAGAAATTCCCGACATGTGTAGCTCAGATCGCTCAAAGATTTTTAATTTGCGATAGGTGGAATCGTTTTCGTTCATAGTTCGCATTATATTTTATCTCACCAAATTATTCCGTTCTTGTAGGAGCGTCCGTACGTGATGGTGAAAGATGAAAAAAATTTAACCGGAAACGCCAGATACGAGGGCTTTTGCATCGACCTATTGAAATGGATCGCAGGTCAGGTCGGCTTCCAGTACACAATTCGTCTGGTTCCCGATCACATGTATGGAGTGTACGACCCCGATACCAAAGAATGGAACGGCATAGTGCGCGAGCTTATGGAAAAAGTGAGGTCCAGAGACAAAGTCTCGATGTACTCTAGCTGTTTCATCGTTTTGCAGCGGGCGGATCTTGCTGTGGCTTCCATGACAATAAATTATGCACGGGAGAGCGTAATCGACTTTACTAAACCGTTTATGAACCTCGGCATAGGAATTCTATTCAAGGTAAGGTAGAGCGAATTCTGCGCGCGAGAGCCGAATAAATCAAGCGACTCTTCCGCGTTCGATATCTACTTCTGACGTCGACCGTGTCTCAATGACATTTTCACTATTTTAACAATGATTAACTATTCATGCAAATTACACGGACGTCAATCAGCTATAGGATAATTTACCGATTTTGAACAAAGCAGTTAGCGTTATCAGAATTGCATATTTATTTAGTCGGACTATTGCCGTTATTCACCAAAATCACCAAAATTACATCAATCGGGCTTATGTTTGCTTTTACGAAATTTACATCGGTTTTAATGCTTCTAATACCGGGTTTTTCATAATCCTAAATCATTAACGCACACATAATAATAATAAAACATAATCAATAATAAAGATTTTCTTTACTTTGCAAAAATTTGATTCATTCTAACATCAAAAAATGTACAACAGCATATTGGATGCCTGCCCAGCGCATCCACCATTTTTGATTTAAAAGAAATACGTGATCATAATTTATGAAATATCCATGCTTTTACACAAAAGTTAGTGTCAGCATGTAATTTTAAAACAAAATCCAAATTGTATAACGTTTCAATTCTGCTTCTATACTGGGTGATTCAGATAAGATAATGAGCCCGACGTTCTGGCGATGCAACCCAAAAAACAAATTTCATTTACGTTTTGATCGAACTTTAATTACGATTTGCATTTGCAATCCCAGTTATCTTATGTTGCTCTGGCAGTGCAATTTATGATTTATAAAAAAAACTGTTTGCCTACCTTTAATGTTTCATTATTTCATACATTTTGTATTGGGTTTACACCGAAAAGACTTGTCTGACTTCTCTATCATTCCGCGAGAGCGAATGACACTAATGATCGTTCTCTGCACTGATGTCAGAGTGACATAAGATGATAACTTGGATTCAAGTTGCAAATCTTAATTTAAATTGGTTCAAAATCGTAATTGGAATTTATTTTTGGGTTGCATCGCCAGACCGTCAGGCTCATTATCTTATCTGAATCGCCCTGTATTTTCTCTTAAGTACAAGTTAATTTAATTTTTTTTGTTACAAACAATGTTGTAAATTAATTACCTATTACCCTAAAAAAATAAAATTTAAGTTAACTCAAAACATTGGGAAGAAACTAAACAAATTTCATAAATTACAATATTCAAAAATTGTTAGATATATCTCAAAAAGTCAAAGCACTGTTGAAAAATATCTAAATATAAAATTCAGATACAATTTATCAAATTTTGAATCACTGTTAATACAACTATTTTCCAAGTACATTCTGTAAAAATTAAAAAAAAAATTTTTGTAGTTTATGCTGTTTTTTTTTAAACTTTTTAGAACAATTCTCAATATTACCGGCCTAAATACTGCTAACAAGATTTTAACTTGCGTCAGTAATTTAAAAATGATTTTCACTAGTTTGCACCAACCGCACTCGAGTGTCATTTTATTTTATTTCTTCTGTTGTGGCAAACTGAGGTCGTTTGCACAAATCGATTTTTCTAAGGATTAAAAATCCTGACATATTTCAACCCTAACCTCGCCTCTTCTTGACTTTAATCATGAACTGCACTAGACAGCGTGGCTTAAATTTTAGTTAAACGTCCTGAAATTATAAAAATTCATGTTACACACGCCCTGAATACACAATATGCACAGCATGGTGCACGTTTATTATGCAATATGACGACCGGATCTTCCATAACATTGTTCGTTGCATTTCACGGAAGTTTTTCCACCTTTCAGTCGACTTTACGTGAAAAATGAGCACGAGAAATGACAATCACACGGGAAATTAAAACTCAGGTACGAGAAATATTCGCAATTAATTAAATCGGCCTTGAGTGCTAGGTTTTGTTTTTGTAATAAAAATCAAATGAAATTTACAATTAAAATAATAAGTTGAACCATTTTGAGACATTATTTAACGGCAGTAGTTTAAGCGATCATTAATTTAATTAGACAGCATCTTGTTAGCGTTAATTTTGTATTCACGTAAAATTATTGAGGTTATTTGGTATCTTCGAAGACGTTATGCCACAACCGTGCCTCCTTAATCCCAAAGTAGTTGTTAAATTTATTGCATGGTCCCAGTGAAAGCTTAATTTATTTAAATTGGGAGCGGGCCAAGCACAACAGATTTTATTACGTTTACAATAAAATTTATTTAGTAAAATTTGAGAAATTACATGCGATTTATCTAAGGTAAGTAAACACAAACCAAGAGCGAATTTAGGCCACAAAGTCCTTAATTTTTAAACAAAAATAAGTGCTATGTGTTTAACAACAAATTCTGATTCGATCGAACTAATTAATCCGTTTTTGTCAAGCAATCTCTTGATGCTTGTCATAAATCCGCTCAGCATGCATGAATAAATCGCTCGAGACTCTCAATCGCGATCAAGCATTCGTTAAAAGAGCGTCCGTCATTAAAACGCGTGGTCAAAAATCCGCAAGTCCAGCGCCGAGGTCCACTTTAAAATTTAATCTACGTTTTTGGTCGGTTTGCACGGCCGGAAATTTTCTATAATTCAGGAGAACATTAAATTTTTTAGGTACCCACCAGCCAACCTACGCGACTGTTCAGTTTTATGAACCCCTTAGCGGTGGAAATTTGGCTTTACGTTTTAGCAGCGTATATGTTGGTGTCATTTACATTGTTCGTAATGGCGCGATTTTCGCCGTACGAATGGAACAACCCTCATCCCTGTCATCAAGAATCCGACATTGTCGAAAACCAATTCTCCGTTTCCAATAGTTTTTGGTTTATAACGGGAACATTTTTACGACAAGGATCTGGTTTAAATCCTAAGGTTTGAAACACTTTTATACATGAAAATTTGCTCGATGTTGTGTGAAATTTGAACTTGCTGCATCGAGGACTGTTTTATGGAAAAGAAACGCTTGGATTGCTATAAATATGTAATACACTTTTATCACAGGAGGAAACGGGAATCACGTGTTTTATTGCTTGTCATCACATTACTACAAATGTGTGGCTTCATCTAGTAAATAAAGAGATCGTGTCGCTGTCTCTTCTACAAATAAAAAATTTATTTCGACTACATTCTTACAACATAAAGCTCATACATGATATACGTATATTCCTTGATGATGGCTTCCTCCGATTTTTGCTTTTACCTACATTCCCGGGTTTAAAATATTTGTTTATTTCTTTAATACATAAACAACTATTATTTATAAAGTAGTTTTACAAGATTTCTCCTACAGTTTAATAAATTACACAAGAAAAAGAAAATTGCAGTATAGATTTTCTCGATTTTCATGCTCACAAACAACAACATATTCCAAGGAAGAACGTCGAATTACCCCAAATTGATTTCATTGAATGTGGACAGTAACAGAAATCGTTTCTTATCATGAAAACAATGTATGTAATAAACGAAAAGATTTTCTGAAGTTAATTTATTTATTCACTTCTGTTCAATAAAGAGAAAATGTTAAATTCGTAAACAAGCTAATTTAATTTTCTAATAATTCAGCTTTAATCTTATTTAATGCTAAGTGAATTATATTATAAATAACTAAATTATCTACGACAATCGTGATGCGAATGGTCTATTAAAATTAAGATTATTGATCGGTGAATATGTAACATATCCTAAAAAATAGAAATACCGAGTAAATCAAGTAACTTGTTTTTGAGTTTTATTTTAAACCATCTTAAAAGTTTTAAGTAAATTAAGTTAAACAATACCATCATTATTATTATTTTGTACTGAATGGAAAAAATTGCTTTTCTCTATTATTAATAGATAAACAAGTTTTTTATCGTCTAGTAAAAAAAGTAGATTTTTATCTTCTTATTATATTCAAAATCAAGGCGACCATAATTATGAATGACATAATTATGTGTCAGTGTGTTCATCAGCAGACACAAGAAGTTATATTATACAGATGTCCCAGAAGCAAACCGATATACGTCAACCAGTGATGGAAAATGGCGTTATGAGAAAAAAAGTTTAAACAGTTTTTTTCTATCTTCATTCGTTAACGAGTTACAGCTTAGCAAAGAGTAACAATGAATTTATAAAACAATTGCATAGTTTCAAGTTTCATTTGGTTGATACATACTGTCAGTGCGACACAAACATAAACGTAAGAATTTAGGGATACAAAAACCTTAATTGTAAAAAAATTAAAAATAAAATAAAATAAAATTTTATAAGTAAAAAATTGCTAAAAACGCCTTCCAACTAAACAATTGCAATCACGACCAACTTGTACAAAATTCATTGTTACTAAGCTGTAACACTTTACCGAATGAAGACATCTTCTATCACTGGTTTACAAATGGCACTTTGTTTTTGAGACACTTGTATACAGGCTGCGCCAGAACTCGCGCCCCAAAGAAAAATGCCATATAAGGTAAGATACCAGGAACATGGAAAAAATGTTAAAAAAAATATCTATAAAAATTTCGAAGTTATGAATTTTGCACTCTGACTCTATTTATTTCTGTTGAAAAAATAATTTTCCAAGTTTTTTTTTTCTATAGGCTATTAAAAGAGGAAACAAGGAAGCTGTATCCTAAATTGTAACTCTGTTCAATGTTATTTGTGTCTTTAATTGGCAAAATTTTTGTTCCTTCACTAAATAATTGTAAAAAAACATCATTACATCAGTATCATTAAATAGATATAAAAAATGTCAAATGTCAAAAAATATATGTCAAAATTTTTTAACAGAGAATTTTTTAAACATTTTTTTCATGTTCCTGGTATCTTACCTTACTTGAAAATTTTCTCTGGGGCGCGAGTTCTGGCGCATCATGTATATGGTACAAAATAAAACAAAATATTATACACAACAATAAAGGTTGTTTATCCACTCGTGACAACCAATAGCCAAATATCAATACAAATTAATTTTTAATTAGTATAAAAAAAAATTATTGCACGTTCACACTTTACTATTAAAATACGAATAACAATATAATAAGAAAGCATAAACATTTGAAAAAAAAATAAATTTTATAAACAGAATCACTGAATTTTTTTACAAAATGACTGGTTTACTGGCGTTTTACAAATACGTAACAAATAAACTAAATTTTTAAACTCAATACTGATTTTTTAGAGTCAATACGAGTACAATAGATACATTATTTTCATTATGCTTATTTTTAAAAATACATATTAGCGCATATTATTCATTTCACAATGTAATATTTTTATTTAACAATTTAATAAATTATTAAAAAGTATATTGTATTAATGACAGATTTATTTATTCACAATTTACATTAAAATTTAATTTCCTGCATTTATTTTTATTTGAATTGGATTAATGTTGTACGCGTGGAGAAATATGGATTACACACGATTATCAATTTATAACACGTTTTATTTGTTAAAAAATAATAGTAACTACTATAGTAATCAAAAAATTTCTTCTGAAAGACTCGGAAATTCTTTTTTCCAGTCTAAATTAAAAGAAGGAAATAAAATTATAGCCTTCTAGAGAATAAATTTTCTCGTCGGTCATATGATATTATTATTATTAATTTGTTCATAGTTTAAAAAAATACATCCGCAAATCCCTCGATGAACTAATATTAAGAAGAAATTTCAAACTGAAACTGCTTCATTCAAGAACTCAATAATCAAGTTTCGAAGTCGATCTAACGAGTTGGAAAAAATTTACAGCTGAAGCAGCAAAAGTCTTATCAAGACAATATGAGAGTTAGGCTTGACCTACTTCTTACACATCTCATAAGGTGTACAAAACTTATTTTACCCTTGATCTTGGCGTTGAAAACTATATGTTTGTTTTTTTCTTGTTATTTACACAAGGGCAGTCGTCGAAAAGCGAGCCGAGTCGGCTATTTTCCTTTCTCACCCCTTTGGCGATGAACATATGGCTATACATGGCCGGGGCGTACGTTTTGGTATCGATAACAATTTGGATAGTGGCCCGGTTTTCGCCCCTCGAGTGGAAAGAGCCTGAGCTATGCGACGACTGTCTCCTAAAAAAATATTCAATCTTGTACGAGTTTGACGAACATTGCGAGCACGACGCATCATCAGGCATCGGCAGCGACGCCGCCGACGATTTAGTTTCGCTTCCTAACAACGACAACGATATTGACGAAGTAATCGAATCCGTTAATGATCCGTGTCTAAGTCACGAACACTCCGACGGAAGAACATTAGAAATACTCGAGAACGGATTCACGATAGGCAACAGCTTCTGGTTTGCCATCGGCAGTTTGATGCAGCAAGGATCAGATCTCAACCCGAAGGTATAATATTTGTTTCCCGCATTAATCCCAACTCGACAACTTATAAGCTACGACTCTGAGGAGTAACGCCTCGTCAAATTGTGTACACAGCACCAACTCCAAATTCAATTCGCAAATTCATGAATACGGAGCGTTTCATTAAACACCACACATTTACAAATGCTATTCAACCAGACTTGTTTTTATTAAAACAGTTATTTAAACACTTATTTTAAGTTAAAGTTATGTATACCTAATACAGCCATTACTTGCAAAAACTCAGAATGAAGAAAGAATGAAAGAAAGAATGAAGTGATTTGATCTTAAACTTCGATGATTTTTTAATATTAGTCACAGTCTTATTAATGCCCAGAATCGGCAATTTTAAGTTGTTGCAAATTGACTCAGTTATGAAATTTTGTTGCGATTCGATGTCTAAAATAAACAGAACTTATTGAAACACACAAGCAAGTTTGATTTTAGTGGAAAACTAGAAATCGTTTACAAAATCATGACAAAAATAATTTTTTTCATGTGTGTCATCCTGAAGAATTAATACAAATATTTACACATAATCAATAATCACTCAAATGTATTTCGCCAATTTCTTATAAATAATAAAAGCATAACAATTATGAAAAAATATATTATATTTATTTTAAACAAATTTATTACATAATTTGTATAATAAGATAAACCACTTTTAAAACCTCTTAACATAAATTTGATGTGGTAAATTTATGGTAATAGTGAAACAAACATTCATTAATTTTTAGTAGCATACAGTGTTTCAGAACTCGCGCCCCAGAAAAAAATTAAGATAAGTTACCAAGAACATGGAAAAAATGTTTAAAAAATTCTATCTGTCAAAAAGTTTGACATTTATTTTTTGACATTTGACAGTTTCTTATGTTTATTTAATGATACTGATAATCTTCTTCTTATTGGATTTGTTCACTGATAATCTTGTATATATTTAATTGAATACAAAAAATACAAAAAATTTGCCAATAAAAGCCGCATAATAACGTTAAACATAGTAACAATTTATGATACATCTTCCTTGTTCTCTCTTCTAATATCAGCAAAAAAAAAAACATGGACAATTATTATTGGTTGTATTAACGTCCTGCATCATTTGTTTATATAGTACATCACGAATTGAGTACAAATAAAAGACTTTTCCTTAAATAGCCGACGTTTCGAAATTTTATTATTTTATCATCAGGGCTGTTGGACAGATGTTATTAATAATTAGATACATGGTGGAAAGATTACTTTTTGTGTTACCTTATAAGAAAATTACTACGTGAGGAGTTTTTTTATAAAATGATTTTTCATCATTTTTGTCAATTGTATGTGGTTGAAGGTAGCACTTATAACTATTGAAAACTATAGAATATTATGTAAATTGATAACACATTAAAAATCGACAAAACAGTATAAATTTATACGCAAATTTTAACTGTTTTGTCGATTTTTTAATGTACTTAATTATTAATAACATCTGTCCAACAGCCCTGATGATGAAATAATAAAATCTCGTAACGTCGGCTATTTAAGGAAAAGTCTTTTATTTGTCCTCAACTCGTGATCCACTATACAGGCTGATTCTTAAATAGACCGACAAAATTTTATCCTTGGTAGTATCAAATGAGAACATGCTGGAAAAAATATTTTAAAAAATTCTTTGTTTAAACGTTCTCCAAATAAAATTTATTAAAGTTATTTTCGAAGTAAAGCGTACGCCACTGATATGTTAGTACAGGTAGTTGAAACCATGGTATTAACGTAATGAAAATGTACTTGATCATTGCAACAATTCATAAACTCCGTAAGTGGCACGGATCAAGGGGGTTTTGCCCGTAAAAGATAAAAGATAAACTTAAAAAGGGGTACCGTTTGTCTCCATTTATGCTTAAGAAGCTGTGATAACATTTTGTCGGGCTATTTAAGAATCCTCCTGTATAAATGGACAATTATTTTTCCAACAGAAATAAATAGAGTCAAAGTTTAAATTTTAAACTCCTATAATTTCGAAATTTTTATAGATAATAGTAGATTATGTTGTTAGGAGTAAAAATGATTGCTTATGTGGCGAAGCTGAACGTTCAGTGAGGCAAATGGATTCAGCTGAGCCACAAAAACTCACTTTTACTCCAAATCACATATACTATTTTATCTGCAAACGATTCAGATGGAGAGAAAAGAGCAACACACCAATAATCAAGTAAATCACCGCAATAATTAGGATGCTTTGCAATAAAATCATAATAAACGTCACGCGTCAGTTTCGGAATTTGTGTTGAGATTTCGAAAGTGTTGATTGAGTTAACTAGTGAATAACTGGTGTAGTTTATAGTGCAAAATGCCGAATGCTGATAATCTACCTTGTAGCTCTCCAGAAAATGCTGAAAAAGAGAAAGAGACAACAGTGGTAAATGTCAAAGTAAGTGTCAAGTAAAAGTGAAAACGCCTAGGCGTAAAAACAGTGTTTTTACTCCATGTCTGAAAAGTAAAACTTTTACCTGTGTCATTTAGTCATAAAAGTGGTCGCTTTTGTGACGTTTGCGGATAAAATTTCTTTAACATTTTTCTGTTCCTGATATCTTACCTACATGGCATTTTTCTCTGGGACGCAAGTTCTGAAACACCCTGTATTTATGTACTTGGGGTAATTGCCTAAAAAACTTTAGACAAGATTAAATCAGCATCGGCCAAACCGCATTGCCATAAAAGTTCCCTGAGTGAAAAAAATCCTTTTTAAGGTTTTCCGTTTTGATGTCGTGCCGAACAGTCCAACAGCTTAAAACAATCCCCTTAACTTAATAAATTTCTTGCCACAACAAAATCGCTAGGTTTTGGGAGGCTAGTCGTAAAACTGTGTACATAAAATACGAGTACGTTGCCTCTTGTAGACCCTGGGATAATCTTAAAGAAACAAGTATTGTACTTTCGACCGCTTATGACTCCCTGTGCATGATTTAGTCTGTTAATTACTACTCGCTAAACTAATACTAAAACTAGAATGATTTAGCGACGCTTTAATTGCCTAGCTGTAGCAATATTTTGGAGACTGTTTATAATTCATCCTCTTATAGTCTAGTTGTGTTCCAGATAAGCAAACAACTACCCACAATATATCCTCGTAATAAAATCGGTTTTAGGCAACGTCTACGAGGATCGTAGGCGGTATCTGGTGGTTTTTTACTCTCATAATAATCTCTTCTTACACCGCAAATTTGGCTGCTTTCCTAACGGTGGAACGCATGATTACCCCCATTGAGAGTGCCCAAGACCTGGCCGATCAGACCGATATTGCTTATGGAACTCTCGAAGGCGGCAGCACTATGACGTTTTTTAGGGTGAGTTTTTAGACTAAATTTTAAATATCTACACAAACAACGTAAGTCATGTTCGGCGAATGGTTTTAATAATATTCTAACCGCGTACACTTTGAGTCGTAAAATCTAATCGTAAATTTTATTATTGGGGAAAGAATCGAGCATTAATTATTTATAATCAAACCAAAGCAATAAAGAGTGTCTTCTTTGTACAAAGTTTCAATTCGGTTTTAGTATGGAAATAAGGGTTTTGTAAAATTGAAAGAAATGCAATCAAGTATAGGTTGTGAGACGTGAATTACAATTTCACAATGTAAGTAGATGCATTAGAAATTCGACAGGATTTTCCAAATTTATTATTTTTATATTGTAGTACGAGTACATAATTGCAAAAGAATAACAATAAGTACATACAATAGAAAACAAATCGGAAATAGTTGATTGAATGGAATTAATAATTGATCCACACGCATATAATAAAGAAGGACTATATAAAGCCTTCGAGATTATTACAAAACATCAAAGAACATTCGTAAAAGATACTTAATATTTATTAAAAAATCCAAAACCGGTTTAATAAACTGGCGAAAAAAGGAAAAGCAATAAGTCAAAGTTTATTTAGTTCAAATGTGGTTATAGTCACTCAAAAAAAGATTGAATGTGAAAAATCGTACAGTCAATAAATCTCATTTCTCAAAACATTTCCCTTGTGTGCCCGCAATATGTTACAGTTTAGCCGCTTTTATTAAAAGAGTGAGTGAAATCATTGGAAGTAAAAATTATATAAAGCATACCAAAATGTTTCATTATAATTACATCTCACTCGTACAGAATTACTAAAATATTATACATCACACATATTTTCCGAAAACATCAAAAAGTTGTTTCCATAAAAGTGAAGAACTGTCTTTAGGGAATTAATTAGTTATCTTTTGCAAAAAGAACAAATCTCCGCGGAATAACAAAAAAGTTCTTTCACGCCTACGGCCTTTCAGAGATTGTGATCATTTTAGTGTTTGAAGTTAGAACAAAACTCTACCGGAATTCCCTAACAATAGTGGCTCTATCGAGCTTGATAGAGATCTAATATGCTACACTAGGAGTCATTAGAGTGTGGTAAACACAGTCCTTAGCTGTGGGTGATAGTTAAAATAATAATCTACTTTGGCTGGTATCACCTGCTCTTACTGTTACTAATCCAGTTAAAGTGCCATTTCTGATAAGTTAGTTAAAAGCCCTGTTATTTCCTACTTTACAGGATTCAAAGATAGGCATTTACCAAAAAATGTGGCGGTTTATGGAGAGCCGAAAGCCCTCGGTGTTCGTGAAAACGTACGAGGAAGGTGTGCAACGCGTGCTGGAGGGAAATTACGCCTTCCTAATGGAATCGACGATGCTGGACTACGCTGTTCAAAGAGATTGCAATTTAACGCAAATTGGGGGCTTGCTGGACTCAAAAGGTTACGGGATAGCAACGCCGAAAGGCAGTCCGTGGAGAGACAAAATATCGCTTGCAATCCTCGAGCTTCAAGAGAAAGGAGTGATCCAAATACTTTATGACAAGTGGTGGAAAAATACTGGAGATGTTTGTAATCGAGATGATAAAAGTAAAGAATCCAAAGCCAACGCTTTGGGGGTCGAAAATATTGGTAAGTTTAAAAAAACATTATCGGATACAGAAAGTCAGCTTTTTCCGAGCTTTGAGATGGTGATTTTTTGCGCGAGAACTTCGGTCTATTGTGGGAGGCTTCTGACGTCAATCTTGAAGAATGGATCAGACGGATTAACACATCGATTTGGCTATAGCAATTATCGTAAGGGATTCAAGTATAATCCTTATTTTCACACACTGGCTTTCTCTAATTTTATTCAAAAACTTTGCGAATACCGTGTATTATTAACTCAATTACGACGACAAAAATTGAATGTCAAAGGACTACTTGTTAAGTATCGGAAAGCGACATCGTTATATACGTTTGCTATGAAATATGAATAAAATTATTTTGGATTCATAAATATTCACATCGACCTTGTTATTTCGGCAATTCGCTATGAATACAAAATGGGAAGCACTTTATACAAAAAGGCAATAAAAACTGTCTTCAAACAAACAAAAGCTCGGGCCAAATCAGATATTTTACAAAATTTAAATTACAAATCACATTAGTTTTGATAAAATTATTATAAAATTAATTTAAGGGCGCCGCAAAGCATCTGCATTAAATTTTAATTCAAAAAGTAGAAAAACACGTTTGCAATATTTTTAAATAATTGCTTAAAATTATGTAAACTCGCTTTTAAATTATCTTTTTTTAATAAAGACATATCACAAACACTGGTAAATCTGCTTCATGTTTAATCCTATCACCGCAACACTTTAATAAAGATTCTCTATTATTTTTATGCCTGATGCAGCTTCTAAAAATCCTGTTTTAGTATTTTGACGCCACATATTATAGTACATAAAACGTTAGAGAAAGTTTACGACTCGACGCATCAAAGTTATTAAAATACTCAAAACCTGGTTATAGCCTTTATATCGAAAGGTCGTATGTAGGCAAAGTATAAACCATTTTCCCGAAAACAGATTTACCAAATTGTTTGCTCTTTTTTATCATATAACAATATCTCTAAGCTATTTTCTATTCGATACAAAATTGTGTTTGTTGGGGTCAAAACAAAATTTTTCGGCGAGTTTTATAATCCATTAGCGAAAATCCTGTTAGGAATTTTTACCAAAAACATCACTTGTTATACTTTTATCTCTCTAAAGCAAAATAAACTCGCCCACTATTTGAATAAAACGAAATACATAAAAGATGATTTGACGCAAAATCCTCCCAGAATAGAAAAAATAAATATTCGCCGAAAAATTCATCAAATACCTGCTTTTTATTATTCGGTAAGGAAATGTAAAATTAAATTATTATTCCGGGCTATTTCCGGTCCATTCGGAAGCTGAAATTTCCAGGTATTTCTCATTCTTTCAGCTTTTATAGCTCCTTTTTAAATTTTCTAATAAACTCGTCGCTCTTTCAGGGGGCGTATTTGTGGTGCTTCTCTGCGGCTTGGCCCTCGCCATTTTAGTCGCGATCCTCGAGTTCTGCTGGAACAGCAAGAAAAATGCTCAGACCGATCGACAGTCTCTGTGTTCGGAAATGGCAGAAGAATTGAGGTTTGCGGTGCGTTGTCACGGCTCGAGACAACGTCCTGCCCTACGAAGATCTTGTACGAGGTGTAGTCCGGCCACGACTTATGTGCCTGCGGCGTTAGATTTACCGCACATCAATGGGGTAAAAATAAAAGTTTCACTCAGTATACGTCAGACAGTCTTTGTCTCGATCAACAAGATCATAAATTATATCGGCGAATACGTCGCTTTGAAATTATTCACTTTTTTCACGCGTTCGACCCATCAACCAATTTGTTTCGTTCTCTTCTATGCTATTCTCCCTTACATTATCTAAAGCCACACTTTTTGCACCCAGTATTGATTTGATTGTAAATTGACTACTGCTTTCAACGCAATCGTAGCGCCTACGTTAATTATTAAATTGGTGCATAATTGTCTGAGTTTTTTAGTTTTATTTTACTAATAAACTGCGCTTTTTGGTTTTTTTTTATAAGCATAAATATTTCTTACACGGAAAGTAGCTCAGTCGTTTCACGATCTGAATAAACTTTTTGCAAAACAAATAATTAAAATAACAATGTCGAGAGTGATTTGCTTCTTTAAAAAATGGCATACGGGCAAAATATTTAAATAAGTTGTAACCGTTGGGTACAGTCAAAGTAAATAGAAGGTTCCTGAAGTAAATGACAATTTAAACACGTTGTTATATCATTTTATAATAAATACTGTTAAAAAAATGACGAACTTGTTTACAAGATGGAGCATTCTTGTGAGCAATTGCCAATTTGCAAAATTGACTCGTTTGTTATAAATTCAGCTGTATCCAGTTTTAGAGTTGTTGATTTTTTTGTTTTTCTTTTTGCTAAAATCTAAAAATAAGCTATGAAATAAAGAAAAAATAAAATTAAGGCATACCGTCCGTGTATAATCAGGGTCCTAATCAGTGTTGTTAAGCTCTGTTTTTTTAGAGTAAATGTAAACAGTACAATTTACATTTTACCGGTATATGTTTTTCTCGCACTTATTGCAGTTACATTTATAAAAAAAGTATACAAAATTCAAAGTAGACTACTAAACTTTCTGGTCCAATTTGACACTTTAAGAAAGAAAATAGTTATTTGAACAAACCCTCTTAAAGATGCAAGTTGAGAATAAAAAAAAATGAAGCACTGACGAACCGCCGGAATTCGCAATAATTCCCTCCGGCAATGCAACTTACTACTTTTGCTTAGTTGCTTCATTATTAAAAATCTTGTACTTTATACTTTATTATTTTATATTTTATTTCTTCTACAAAACATAAACATCCTGAAACAGTATTGTAATGTTATTGTACACATAAATCAATTTTGGTGGATGCGCCGGGTAAATTAAGTTTTAAAATTAGAACTGAATCTTAAACGGCATTTATCATAAAAGTCATTCAATTTTTATGCAAAATTAGAAACTCATCAAGTAAGTTTTTTAAAGGAGCCGACGATTAAACGCCTCATTACGGAATATATTGCATCTTGAATTTTAATAAGATTTTTAAAAATCGCCAATTTGCTCACAATTTTCAGACATGACAAATTCAGAAGCTTTCTATATTAAAAATTTCTGCAGTCAGATGGTGTTCTTGTCATTAAATCTTCCTTAATTAATCTCAAGAAAGAAAAATTCTTTATCCCCAAGTTTCACAATTTAATTCAAGCTTATTTTTCTCAAATAACTAATTGTTTTCTCTCGTTTCTATAGCCAATGAATTTAATGGAAATCCAATTTATTCCCGAATCGAGTCAACACGCGCAAAGGTAGCCATTTTTGTTTCTAATCCAAATCAAACAAAATTATAAGTAACCGTAGACCACCATCACTTTTACACATTTTCCAACTCTCTAACTTATGAGAACCTAACTCTACGAGCTCGTCGCTCAACAAAACCTTGCATTTGCAGGAAGGCGTGATGCTGCCCATGATGGACTTAAAGAAGTCGCCCATCAGTTACGACGTCGACACTTAGCGGCGACTTTACGCTGGGGGTACGTCAACTTTTGCGTGCACTTCCAGCGCCATCAGAGATTGCTGTGGGGGCCCGTCTAACTCCCGGCCGCAACGTGCGGCCACCCTTAATTACCGGGCGACTCCGCAATGTCCCGATCTGGCAAAAAAAAGTGCCACATTGGGACGCAATTCTGGATTTTGTCGTGATACTTGTGACATTGTACAAAGCGGTCTACAAAACGACGTCCCGGATAAAATACTGTGGAAGTTCGATTGTGATATTGGTAGTCCGAACAACCCAGACGTAGTGACCAGGACACTGCCCGACGCCATCGTAAGTAGGACCACCACTTTGTGATATATAGGTAGAATTTGTAAATTAAATCAAATAAATGGACTGATGTTTGTACCAATTTCAAATACGATTGTTAGAGAATTTTTACTGAGTTAAGGACTTTTACAAAAAAATAAATTTTAGAGACTGTCAAACATTAATACGAATACTTACAAAAGTATGTAAGCAAAAAAATAAAAAAAGTGTCAGCTTATCAAAGGTTTTCAAAAAATACGAACACAAAAATTCTTTATGAAAAAATATATTTTTCAGTAAAATCATCAAATCCGACTCCTTGAGATTAAATGTTAAGCCACTAAACACAACATTTTTCCTTTTAATTCCCTGGATGTTTCACCGATTTTCTCCCTCTGCCATATTTTTAAAATCGAACCTTTCGTCGATCCAAATTGCCTCAGTTCTTTCCAACTCTAGTCACGTCTAACCAAATTTGCGGTGTTCCAACAAAGTAAATGGTCTATAAAGATTTTTTAGTAAAGCTTTAATTTTTACGCGTCATCTATTCATAAAACTTTGGCAATGTGACACACTGTTTAGAACAAGCAATGAACTGAACCATAAGCTTTACTGAAAATTGAATAAATATTTTATTTAACTGATTTATTTTATTCCCTCGGCGGCTCCGCCTTGTCCAACCGAAATTGAATGAATGAAATAAGAAAAAATAAATCGGTTTGGAAAATTAAAACTTGCGAGTTTTCGGTTGTTATTCAAACAAGCGTTTACGTCTCGCAATAAAATATCAACTTTTAGGGTTTAAAAGCACCGGAATTCATACTTTAACTATAATATTTTTACGATGCTTTAAAGTTGTGTGTTTGGAGTTGTTTTACTGCAGAGTTCAAGTAACACATCGTGAGAATTTTTACCATTAATTTTATATGCATGCAAGAGAAATATACGTAAAATTAAAAGCATATCTTTTAGGAAAATATGGCAGTCTCTGAAATTTATTTTTATTTCATTTCCAAAATTGGTAATAAATTCAACACAGTTCATTAATTTTAAATAATTTCCGTCCATTATATTTCATTACCTTCTCTTATATTTTACGATTAATGCTTAATAAATCGGTATTAATGCAACAATCAAAAATTCTTGTTAAAGTTTTAATTATAATCATCAATGTTATCAAATATATTAAATTAAGTTATGTTGATTATCAAATTAAATACTATTTACATTATAATTTTAACATTGTTACTCGTGTAAAATATTATTAAGACAGTTGTTTCAATTTCGTTAACATTGTACTCTCTCTATATTTTATTGTAATCTAAGAATTGTTTATCAAAGTACCTAAATAAATTTTTGAAATTATTGTTAAAAAGTCTTTTTTGTGACAAAGTGCGTTGTCTGAAAAAAGCAGACTCAGACAATAAAATTTTCCGCCAAAATACATCTACCATGACGTCATCGTTTTACTGTTAGATAGAGTGCTCACAGAAGAAATGGACAGCATTTATTCAATTGCACGAAGAAAAATATTCTCTAGAAAACAACGTATTTGAAAATTTCAGGTGAGTAAATGGTGCTCTGCGAAAAAACGATGTTTGGCTACAGATATCTAACAAATTATAAAAAATACTACCTTGATTTCTTGATATAACGTAAGGCCAGTCACTGAACACTCAAAAAGGGGTTGTAGAATATAATCATATCTTCCAATTTGTTGTTTATATCTTTGATTAAACGTTTACACCCCATATCACCCGTTTAGAATTCAAAACAAACTTCCATCCCCTATTTAATCTCTTGAAGAAAGAATTTCCAAAAACCTTAAAATATATATTTTTTACAAATACATTCAAATTTTTATGGAAATCACTTAACAATAACGAATTTTTATACAAAGTCATTTTTTGTTTCACACACTTAGGGGTGGCATTTCTAAAAATCCTGAAACATGTGTTTCTTAATTTTTAACCGAAAGCCTAAATACCAATTTTCATGGATAAAACTTCAAAATTGGCGAATATTTATACAAACTTTTATCCCCCGTTTAAACTATTCGGGGGCTGAATTATCAGAATTTTTTTATAGTGTTTTATCATTTATTAAAACTGTTGCTAGTCAATTAAATAGACACACATTTTGCAACTAAAATATTGTGAAAAATAGTTATAAGAGGTGTGCTTAATTTTATTGCAGTAATTAGGTGATAGACAAAATAATTGAAACACTAATTTTAATGTAAACACTCTTTTTCTATTATTTTTATTATTATTTTATTATTTTTTACCATGAGATATTGCTTAGCCCACTTAAAAAGAAATGATGACTTCAGCGCCCACCCATTTGGGTGGCCTATTTAGGCTTGTAAATCATTTCAAGTCAAACATTTTTGATAATGATAACATTGATTTGGACGACCACTGCGCGGGAATAAGTGTCGTTCTCATTGACTTCTTTTACTTTAATAATAAGATGGGTGCTTGAATAGCCTTATTACAAACGCATTTGCTCTGATTTATATTTTATGCTATGTATTTTGACATTTATTCTAGAAAGACCGGATTTCCATTATAACAACAAGACTAACATACAAATGCGAATAATAGTTATGACGTTCATTGTTTTGTTAATTCGTTAGCCAAGTTCAAGCTTAGGGAAATCTTACGGAAGATCTCTCGAGACTATCACACGCACCAAAAGATATTTAACACCAACAATACACAATCCTAAATTATTAACCAACGACTTGGAACGCAAAACTAAAACGGTATTGTCTATATTCGAGTCTATTAAAATATTAACGTCTTTGCTTGTTGTTAATGTGTTTCATCAAGTTTCGGGCTTAAATAAGTTTGAATAAATAAGCCAACAGAAGTACGCTTCTCCTACATTTAACTTATCCGTGAAGAAGACAAATGTTATTCCCATTGTTTGAGTTTTGAAGTTTTGCATGCAAAATCCAAGCGAAACTAGTGAGGCGTTTGATCTTGGAAGTTTTTATTGTTTACTGACCTCCAGTATAACCCACTTAATTTTTAACTAAAATGTCTCTTCTATCGACCCGATTTTTATGTAGAGAGGACTCGAAAGATGTATCGACTTGGCAAGATTTCAAAGAGTTACATTTCCGGCCTTTGCCCCAATTACACAAGTCGATAAATATTTTTACAAGAAATCGAATTAAAAAATTACTGGCTTTGCCTGAGATTAGGAGCAAAATCAAATGTCTTTTGAAAATCGCCTCTAAGCAGCTGTAAAGTGCCACTTTTTTCTTCGGTACTAATAGCTCCGCTAAATAGATTTCAGTGCAATGTCGGTGGACAAATGTGTCTTTTTAGACGTTAGGTAAAGGCACAAAACACTCACATGTTGAGATGTAATCAAGTGTTGGACCGACGCAGACAAACGATGTCCTAGATTGAGTTAGCAGGGCTGTATTCCAGCGGCGCGTGCCGGAAAATTGCCCATGGGGGCTGTTTACTAGAGAAAATTCAGCCATCTGGTCTTACTGACTTCATTTCAGCACGATATAAATGTACTAATCATATTTTTTTATCTCACAAAAAACTCTTCGATTCGTGTTTTCAGGTTTTCAGCTTTTACAACAAAAGAGGAGTTTTTCAGCTTATTGTCTGCAGGAACAATCGAACTTGGTCTAGCAATAGACAGCTTCAAGGATATTAACTTTTTGTTCATTAATTTTTCAATAGAATATATGATATTTTTTCATTTGCCTTAAAAATAAGAAAAAAAACGAACCAAATAATCTACTCATTATACTTTTTTCCACGTGTTTTAACTCAATTTTTCGTTTCGAAGGTAAAAAAAATTCGCTAATTTGTATGCAAAGGTAGCACTTTAAATTCCCCTTTCTTGTAAACATAAATCTCCAAAAATGTCACAATCGCACATTAACAGAAAAAACAATTAACTTTTATTTCAGGGTTTACTGGGAAAGTTTTTAATAAATTCCCAACTTCTAGGATAATAATATTGAGTTTAAAAAACAAAACAAATAAAAACTAATTACTATTATTACATCTACAATTCACGTACTGTAAACAGGCCCTAGGTAATAATTAGCTGAATTTATTTCTCTGTGAAATTTTGCTGGTTGTTACTTCTCTTTGTGCAATTAAAATTGTTAATTTAATAATATAGAAAAAAAAATCATTTACAACTCAAACGTAACGAGTTTTTTTTCATTTTATAATTTACTAATATTCAAAAACTTATTTTTTCCAACACTAATATCTTATACTGTTTGTATTTAGAGTTACCTTTAGACCTTTAGACTTACCTCTTATGTTGTCGTTAATCTTATGTTGTCGCTCTTCTATAAAATAGGACATGAATAAAAACGTTCAATATTACAATATGTAGTATATAATGTAACATGATTTATTATTAGTCCGGGAAAAAATTTTGAAGACAACACAAGTTTTATAATTTTACAATCTCGGTCTATTAAATTCTTGCTCCCTAACGGTCCCTCGAATCAGTATGTTTTCAGTAAGTCAGCACAATAAAATTTAATTTATTCAGTTTATTACGAGTATAGTAGGTATAAAACAATATTTTTTATTAATATTGTTAACAAATTCTGTTAAGTAATAATTAAATAGATAATTAAATTTTACCATAGTAATATTTTTTTACCTCCACAAAATTAATTACATTTGTTGAATATGAGAAAAACAACAGCTAATAAATTTAGTAAACATTTTTACATTGCTTACAGTCATTGTAATTTATAATAAAAGAAACTGTTATTTGGTACAATTAGGTTTTTATTTATTGCTTTTTGCAAAATAAAACTCGTTTGTAAACACATCGATAGCTAGCTAGCAAGTGTTGCTCCAATTAATAATAATCCCCGCAGCTTCCATAAAGCAAAGATTATCGCGCTTAGCTCCACATGCACAACATTTATACATAATTGCTAAATCCCAACTGTTCTCCTGTGTGGACAGATCGTGATGTAATTTGAAAAGATTCCCGCAATAAATACAGCGTTTAACTAGGAATATGACATGTAAATCTTGCCACTTATCTTCCTTACATCCTACTCTCTTTTTGAGAAGGATTTTAGGATGTACGTGTTTCGTAAGATAAAATAGAAAGCAAATGAGTTTAGATGAATTCTTCCCTGAGTTTACTTTTTGGATTTTTGTCGTTACATCGACCAATAAATTCTCTTTAATCTCCTAAAATACGAGCTTTCAGATCGAGTTCACATCACACAGCTAAATTTATTACAGCTATTGCTTCATTAAAATCAACGGAATTTAACACGGCCAGCACCAAAATTTTATAGCTTCATTACTTTTTGTTATCACGTGCCCACACAAAAAATGCTTGATTTCAGCCAAATAATTCAAGCTTCTACTCGTGTTAAAATAATATTAGCTTTAATTGAGTTTCAAGACACGTATTGCTTGGTATGCATCTTGGAATAATCTTCCTGAAACGTTTGAAAATATGAAATATTCCTGCCTGTATTTTGTGAAGAGAATTATGGGAAAAATGCTAGGATTTGTTGGAATTAAAATTAAGCCTCTCATAAAAATAGTGGAACATTTTCTGTACCTCAGATTTGATCAGGGAAGCGAATGGCCTTAAGTGTGATAAATGTGTATGGAAGTCGTGTAGGCAAACATAATCGATATTCAGGTCAGGACTTGCGGTCTAAAAAGACGTAAAATTCAACGCCGGTATTAGATATTATTTAAAACCAATTCCAGCTGGACTCGGAGATGAAATTCCTGGTGATTTTTATCTATTTGTCGAACGTCGTAGGTATGTGTTGATATGAAGACCTTCGTCTGGAACACGATGTTCTAAGGCTGATAATATGAACACGTCGTGACCGGCATGCTGACCCTTTGCTCATTTTACGGGAAGAAACTACTAAAATAAATTTTGGTGCAGCGACAGAAATACGATTTACAGCACAAATATAAATCAACGAGAAGATCATCAATATATTTGTCAAGTTTTATGAGATTTAAACTTTTCAGTTTACTGAACGATACGGATAAATCCAATTAGGTATTTGCTGACTTAATACGA